CTATCACTCAGTAACCTTTTTTTCTTATTGTATTTATATAAGATATTATAATAAAATTTAATAAATTATAATTATAATAATGAAAATTAAATACAATTTTATAAAATAATTCTCAAAATGAGAGAGAAAACCCCGACTAATACACGAAGAATAAGACTTACAACACATGTAATGTTAGAGTTCTGACCAATTAAACTAACTCGATTAGCTAGCACTCAATAAACTTAAGCATGCATTTCATGAATCATTCTGACATAACCCTTTACATTTTGAATAATATTACAATAAGATTATGATGTTGGTATTTTGATCATATTTAGATTGGGTAATTATAAATAGATTCTCTCAAATTTGTTTAAAATATGAATTGTCTCTATGGTTTAAAAAATTATATATACCTCATTATCAGAATTTTTTATTTAACAAAATTAACTAAAAAAATAAAATTCCTAACTACTCTCCTATACAATAATAAAGTTACTCGAATTATTGATTAAAATAAATTTCTAATATAATTAAAAACTGTTAATTGACTTGATGATTTTTTAATAAACTGGGTCATTTGTTATAAAATAAAAACCTTAAGGGGCAGAATATAATCTTCAATCGATCGATCTGATCTAGATAAAACCTAGCAAACTCGAACATGAACTAGAGATAGATTAATCGATTACTAAATGAAGGGGTTTGAATCGAGAGAAAAGAAAGGGGTTGAAGCAAGAGAGAGTGAAATCACGGGTTCGATGGAGAGGGTTGAGAGAGAGAGAGATCTGAATCACGTTTTGTTCAGATCGGGGCTTCGATCTGAATCTTTTTTGATTTAAGCTTCGATGGAGAGGGGTGAGAGAGAGAGACCTGTGCGCATGTATTAAGGGTTGAGAGATCTGTGCGTATGTAGGCTCTGATTCAAAATAAGGTTTTCACAGAAAGGGGCGCGTGTGGGTCACCACATTCGGAGGCGTTTTTAAACGCCTCCCATTATAAAACGGTGTCGTTTTGTGAAATAGAATAGGCGGCGTTTTATAAAACGCCGTTAAATACTCATAACAGTGACGTTTAAATAAACGTCGTTACAAAAACGCCACGGAATTCTCTTTTTCCTGTAGTGATCACATGAGATAATTTGTATTTTAAACAAATATCAAGAGATATATTTGTAATTTGTCCTATTTATATTTTTTGTCTTAATATTGTATTCTTAATAAGTATTAAATCAATACAATATTAATACATGTAATAATAATAATAATAAATGATCATCACAACATGTTGATGTATTTTTTGGACACATTTAGAATAAATTGATCTGTATGTTTCTAAATTTATTCATGAGTGTGTGGTAATATTAAACAAATATCATGTAGATTCAACTAAATTTTGGTTAGCTATTCTATTCATCCATGACCAAGACTTGCATATAGTCTACCCATTCAACAAAAAAGTTAAATAAACTTCTGGGGTTGGACTGTGCAATACTTTTCCAACTTCGAACATCCCTAGCAATTTCTTTGAAGTGACATTTTTACGTTTCTGCTCTTGAATAATCAAGTCATTAGATAAACATCAACCTCAATGTTGTCCTGTTCATGAAGTCATTAATTCTTAAATAATGGAGGTAAATCATGGTAGCGTGATAGCGTGCTAATCTAAATATCTATCTACAATGCCACTTGATAAAGATGATGATAGATGTGTGACCAGTCTCTACTTTATTAACGGGTCAAACACATATAAATATTATAATTATCAGATTAATTGTGAAATTTTTTTTAAGATACATATTAAATTAATGACCTCTAATCCGTCTAAAAACTTAAACTGTTCATATCCTCAACAGCAGTGATGACTTCATGATCATTATATTATACCCTCCCTTCCCTTGATTTAAAGACATGAGATACTTTTCACTAAGCAAAAAAAATGGATTTTCTGCAACATGCAAGACATTCAAGAGCAAAACAATACTCGGATGGTTTTCCTAATGCCTTGAGTCTGCTATTTGAAGCAACTGCAACAGAAGATAAAGAACACTTCCTTAATCTACTCGAAAAAAACCCAGGTGCTCTTGAAGACTCCACCACCGCAGTAGCATCAGATGAAAACTCCACCACCGCGGTAGCATCAGATGAAAGTCAATTACACACAGCCTCAAAGTTGGGGCATATAGTAATAGTGAGAGAGACAGTACCAAGAAAGCCTGAATTTGCAAAAGAGTTTAACCAAGATGGGTATGGTTGTTTGCACTTGGCTTCTTCAATGGGACACCGTGAGGTTGTGCAGTACCTAATCAAATGCAATATTGGCAAAGACCCATGTCTTTTCAAAGACAAATTTGGGATGACACCACTTCATAGTGCAGCTGTGAACGGGAGGCTTGAAGTTATGAGGGCATCCCTGCTTGATGCGTTGCCTGAGTCTGTCATGGTGGAGACTGACAGAAGAGAGGCAGCTCTTCATATTGCAGTCGTGTATAATCAGATGAGTGAGGCGGAGGAGCTCATCAATGCCAAGGACAGTGGTGGCAATACAGTTCTTCACCTTGCTACCTCCAGGAAACAATCCCAGGCAAAATCTCTCTTTTCATCTTCTTGTTATTGATGTTGTTTTGTTGTCTGTCTGCTTCAATTGTTGAATTGGCTTCATCCTCTCATGCATGAATCAGGGACAGGATCTATGATTGAACTTTGGGGGTTGAAAGTAAGTAACTCCAATCAAGAAAATATGAATAATATTATCAAACTAAGGATTACTACCAACATAATTGAGTATAAGAATATGAACACACAATCGAGTATAACTTACAAAAAGTAAATAACTGATAAAAATAATTGCTATATATTTAGACATGTGAAATTGTACTTGACACTTGTTCATGATATAAAAAGCATCTAAAATAAATTCGACATCAAAAATTCAAACAATGTCTTTCTCAATATATGTGATTAACTAGCTAAAAAATCATCTTTCATCATATTTAGTTGTTTTGTCTTACAAGTTTTATAGCTGAAATATAAGTTTCAATGACCAGTTGAAATAGGTAAATTAACACAAGACAAATTAATCTATCAATAAAAGAATAACTTGTTTTAATAAACAATATCAAATTTAATGAACTCATATTTTAGGATGTAATGTCAAAAACAATCAATATACCTATTTCAAAAAAATGACCAGACAAGAATGAGTGACAAAATAAGAGATATCAGTAAATTAAATGTTTGACGTATAGAAAAACATAAATGACGAGCAGAAAACAAAAATCAGTTCTTACATACTTAACATTCAATAACATGCAATATATTTACTTTTGTATGAAGTGCAAATAAACATATACACATGTTTTTTTGTGTGAGCATCTGAAATTTGGAACAAGCTAGAAAGAAAATTCAACAGTCATCTTCTGTTTTGGTTTTATCAGGCTGCTTCCATTGGGCTTGACTTGCATATTGTCAATCCTCTTGGGGGGTGACACAAAAGGTATACCAATTACTAAAATTGTAATTACATATTATTTTTATCTTCTAACTTTCTATAATAACAGATATCTTAAATTTTAACTCTACAATAATCAGCACAAATTAAGACCTTTCTTCACTATTAGTAGGCAATACAGAGCAGCCCAGATAGTATTATTTTAGAAATGAAAATTCAATACAGAGAAATACTTTTTTGTTCTGTTTGTTTTTGAGTTTTTACTTCATTGTTCATGCAGACTCTGGAGACATTGCTTGTGGGTAATCCTACCAATAAGGCTTCAGTGGAGGTGAATATTGTGAATGCCCGTGGTTTTACAGCTTTGGACAGTTTTGATGTCCAACTGCCAAGTGGCAAACAGATGGACATGGAAATCGACAAGATCCTCCGAAGAGCAGGAGCTTTACAAGCCAGACACTTATCCACACCAAACCTAGGCCTACCCAATGGCAGAGATGAAGTTCTTATCGACATCAAGAACATTTTTAACAAACAGCCTTCACATGACCCCTTCATCAAATCCTCCAAAAATTTAAAACAACTGCCAATAGATGATGCGTATAACATAATGTTACTAGCAGCAGTAGTGGTAGCAACTATGACCTTTTATACAGCACTGTGCCGTCTTGACACCCTCCAACAAAATATAATTATTCCAACAGGTTTGTTCATATTCTTCAACTCTGCAGGGTTTTTTACATCAATAGCCATGATTATATACCTCACAGATGATCAACCCATGAAACTATGGCTTCTAATCTCTCTGTCCTCACTGCTTGGATCTTATACATGCTTAATAACCAAAATATCGCCAAATGTACCTCTCAATCTGCTCTTCCTAGCAAGTCCTGCCCTGCTCTTGGCAGCTGCCAGGGTTTTTGCCATTTTTTGCAGCTCGAGTTGCAAGTACCTGCCATGGAAATGCACAAGGAATCTTGATATCTATTAATGTCAGACACTTTATTCAATGATACAGAAAATCTCTCCCCTAGTTAAATGGTTTTTTTCATCTTGAGGCTTCAAATTTAGAGGTTCTCTACTGGCAGAATCTAGTGCTGTGTATAGACTGTAAGATGTCTGAAAACTGTTGGATTTTAATAATTTGTATTATATGAATGCTTTTTACCTAGAACAATGAAAGTGCACCAGTCATATTAATGTACCCAATCCAGCCATTTCACTTCAAATTCAAGGCCACTGACAGTTTGAATGCTAAAAGGCTTGGCCACAATGACTGTGGACTTAGCAGTCTCCAAGCATTACTGACTTAGCTCATCCATCATTTTAACATCTAGCTGCATATAGACTTCAACCAGGAATTCTCCGTATTCAATGTCTAGAAGATTAACCATCACAAGGTAACTATATGATCAAAAGAACTGTCATGGTGAATCCATGTTCCAGAAAATCTGGATTAACCTGTTATAGAACTATATGCTTTTTCACTTTGTTATACACGTTCGATAAGGTGCTACCATTTCAATTAACATGGTTCGCTTTATGCTCAGAACCAACAAGAAAAATGAAGAAGAAAGAGAATTGCAAACACACTTTATTTGTGGCTTTACATATTTTACCCTAGAATCAGACCCAATATAATTTCCTGTACAAAACATCAGGTCTCTAAATAATTAATTGATGATAAGGATGAAATTCAGAAATAAAGTTGGTCAATCAACAGTGGTGACCTTTAGTAGATATGGTATTCTGAAAATTTGAAAATAAAATTAGCTTTCATAGTCTTCTAGGAATTTACATATTTTGTAGGTTTTATAGCCTATCTTACAGTCGATGCCGCTAAATTTGCAGGTAAATATACGTGGCTTTGCATATTTCCCAACTATAGTGCATCTCCTCACTTCCCCTTCAACCACTCTCTTCAGTACATCACTGATGTCACCTAATGCCCAAGCTAAGGATACATGAAGGCGTGGATCCTGTGATCAACAACCAAACTTTTTTAGACAAAAAAAAAAAAAAAAGTAATAATAAAAAAAGAGATAACATAAAGAACTTCAATTGTTACTTCAATTGATTGAGCAATATCAACATACTTGTGGAAGACTACAATTAATAACAAGCCAAACCTTATAAAATTCAGGAAGATTGTGAAGCTTGTAAACCTCATTAACAGCTTGAATCTGCTTCCTTATCTGAAATCCATTGAAATTTAATTGAATCTCACAGTTTAGGTGACATGGTAATTAATTAGGGAAAATTGGCCATAAGCCCTTCACACTAACAGCTTCCTTCTAAAAGTCCGAGTTTTAAATCTTTAATGCATAAAGTCCCTCCGGTCAATGTCTTTAATGCATAAAGTCCATATTCTAATAAGACTACAATATTATGGGCTATTTTACCCTCCTTCTATTGGCAGTCACTTAAATATTCTTGTACACATATTTTTATATGCTAAAGCTCATATGAAACTCTGGACAATGATTCAGTAATTGGAAACGATTTGTGAGAAGTAATAGAGAAATCTTCAAGATGGCGAAGATCGATTTTTGCTGTTTTCGTTTAACAGCAATTCATTTGAAATTCTTGCATTTCGTGATCGATTTTAAGGTACTAAACAGGTTCAAATATGTTCCATTTAAAACATTGTTTTTTCATTAGTTTGCTTCTTCACAAAGACACTAATAGGTGGGAGATTGACTTGCTGCTGATGATTGATGAGTGTGAGGGGCTTGTGGTTCTTGTATAGCATGCGGACTCAAGGCTTGGGTTCAAGTTCTTATATATATACATTTCTGTGGGGATGCGATTTGGAAATACTCTTCTGATCCTGGGGAACGCTCATGATCCTCTTCTGGTCACCTGAAAAAGAATATACACTCCGGTCGGGAGTGCCGGAATTAGCACTCCGACGGGCAAGTTAGTATCTACACTCGAGGAAGCTTGTATTCTAAGTTAAACATAGTAATTCTCGCATACCTTTCTCAATCGGTTATTCCTTTATTTATACTTGTTCCCTGGGCTTCGTGACCAAGCCCATTTGTCACTCGTTATTCTCCTATTTATCCGGCTCCACAGTTCAGTATCTACTCGGCCTATTCATTATATTCGGCACTCTCATCGTGCAGAGTAGAGCCATGTAACATCTTCCTTCCAGAGTGCGCTTATGATTATTCCAACTATCCGGCTCCTACAATTGCCCCCCAAACACCTCGCTAGCATCAGTTAGTCGGTGTGTTTGGCTGGAAGTCAAAAATTCGGCGGTTAATTCTCTCCCCAATGCGTGTCAGAACGCGTATGTGATCTTTGGTTATCGTAATGCTTTCCCGTCCCATTTGTACTTCTCTCGCATTTAATACGATTTGAAGTTTAAGTCCCTTCGAAAACATGCTTTTTCGAATATTTGAACCTCCTGGGCTGCTAGTCGGTATCTCTTCTTCAACGCGTTTTCTGCAACTCCTAACCGTTCTCTCCTTGTCTCCTTTGCCTTTCGTAAGTTTTCTTCTCTTCTTCTTGCAATCCTATTTTCCGTTTTTATTTTGATTCAGAGTATCTTTGAATCTTCACTGGAATGGCTAAGCATTTGAATGACCTCCTTTCCGAGGGTCGAATTTCTGGGTTCCGAAGGCATTTTTCTATCCCTGAGGATGTCCATCTTTCTCTGGTGATGGACAATACTCTCGATATGGAGAGGGACGACCAAAATACAATCGTCTTCCCTCTCCTGTCTATTGCGGAGGGCAGGGTTCGCTTTCCCCTACACCCATTTCTCAGGGCCATTCTCCGCTATTGGAGTCTGATTCCTTCGCAACCCAATGTGAACTTTTTTCGAATCATAATGGGAGTCGTAGAGTTGAACCGGCGTCTCAGGATCAGCCTTGGCATTCCCGCGATTCGGCACTACTATGCTTTAGCCAAATCCCCCGGTCGGCTCGGGCGCTACTTTCTCAGGGCCAAGGACACCGACCATCACTTGGTAACGATGCTTGCCAGCTCTGGCAAACGAGTTGATGATGTGATGGTCAATGTCCGAGGTAACTGGGAATTCGGCGAAGGCGAGGATCGCCTACACCCTATTCCCAGACAGAGGGGTGAACTAGGTTGCCATGTAACTCTTTGTTTGTTGACCTTTCTTTTATGCGGCTCTTTCTCCAAGCCTTACCCTTTGTTCTTGCAGGCAATAAGTTGAAAAGGATTTTGACCTCAACTGACGACGCAGTCCTTGCGGAAATCAAAACTGTGCTAAAATACTTTGGCCGTCCAAACGCACAGAAGCAAGGGAGGGCTGCCCATATTCTCCTGCGGTACGAGCCCACCTATACTACGTTTTCGGCGGCGGACGATATCCCGATCCCAACCGGCCAGCAACACCTTACTGCCCTTGTTTTCCCCAGTTTCAAGATCCTGAGGCAAATTGGTCTCGAGGCCTCTGATTCGGAGCAGGGCTTAGAGCTGGTTGTCGAGGTAGATGCCGAACTAAAGAGGGAGTTTGCTGCCGAGGCTGAAGAGATCGACGAAGCTCTGAAATCAGCGTTTGAGGCAGCCGGTCTTAATCAGCCTAGCTCTCCGTCCACTTCGGGTTGGGCGGAGTTTTCCTTCGGAGATATTTTTACGAACTTGGGGGACCTTCCCGGCACTTTTTCAGAAGGCATGGCTAGGGAAAATCTCACACAAATGGCGAGAAAGAGAAATGCCGAGCGAATGGCTGCTCGAAAGAAAGCCGAGGCCGCTCGTTCTAAGCTTGCCCCGGTTGACTATTCACATATGATTAGTGGAGAGAAAACGGCTCAGGTTGTTGTGGCCGAAACGGAGGGGGCTGAACAGCGGGTTACGGAAGAATCGCTGGTTTCAAAAGAGCAGGGTGAAAAACGTTCCGCCGAGGGAGAGGCCGGCTCAGAGGATAGCCCTGCTGACAAACGGCTTCGCTTAGAGGAGTCCGACGTGGTTGTCCCCTTTGTTGTTCAACCAAAGATCAAAGGCACGCCAATCTCTTCTGACGCATCTGCCATGAAGGATCCAGCCGTGGCGTTGAGTGTGGCCGCCTCGGTTTCGTTACCGGCTGATAAGGCCACCTTTCAAGAAGAGCCGGATTTGGTAGCTATAGCTTTCGTTGCCCAGTCGGCCCTTCTGGTATGTATACAATTCTTTCCTTTTTGCTCGTTGGTTTGGTTTGCATAGCCTGTTGGTTGATATGGTGATCCAAACTTGTTTTGCAGACAATTGGAAGGAGAGCCGAATTAGGCCGTCGGCAGCGTGATGCTATTGAAAGAATTGGCCGCTTAAAGTCTGAAGCTAAAGGTGAAAGAAGCAGGGCCGAGTTCGAGGTGATGAGAGCCGCAATGGAAAGTGCTCGAGCCGAAGCTGAAAAGGAAAGGACTCGAACTGCTGACTAGCTTAGGTCCGAAGCCGAGGATAGGGCGAACGCGAGCGAGGAGTCGCTCAAGTTAGCCTAGGAGGCGCTTTCCAAGGCCGAGGCCGAGGTAGAGGAATTGAAGGCGGCCAAGGAAAAAGCAGAATCTGTAGCTGCTACAGCGCTAGAAGCTGGGAAGACCGCCGCCTTGAAGGAATACGTAGATGAAGTCCCCAAATTCGAGAATCAGGGATTCAAACATGGGTGGCACAAAGCCCTTGCTACCGCTGGAGTTACATTGGCCTTGCCAATTCCATACGAGCAAGTGAACGTTGAGCCACTTGAGTCTGATCCCGAGGATTGATCTGGGAGACATTCTAGTTTTGTTACGTATCTTTAATTTCAATGTACATTTTTGTTTAGTGGATTCAAGGTAATTTTCATATATAAATTAGTTATTATCTGCGCTCAATTTATTAATGAAAATTTCCTTCCTGTTTCACCATTACTTGTACGCAATTTTTTTTTTTTTTTTTTTTTTAATGAAGGGTTTTGCCTTCCACTCCTTTGGGTAAAATGATTATTGTCTGTTGTGCCTTCTAACTATCGATTGGATAATAGTGTAGTCTTTGTTAGAATATAATATGTAAAATATTGCTTTAATAATTAGGTTAGTATAATAATTAGTATGCTTTAATAATGTACCTTTAATAATGTTGTTTGGTTTGTGCTTCTACTTTCGGTTTGTAATTGTTCTCCCTCTCCTCTATAAAGGAGAGAGCTCAACACACCATTAAATATATCAATCAATATTACATCAATTTTAAGATGGTATCAGAGCAGGTTTAGAACCTAGTAATTTCGCTTCACCGGCGGGCGGCAACCTCGCCTTGGCCGCCCGCCGGACCTCAACCTAGTCTGCTAAAATTCTCTACACATACCTTCATTCTTCTTCACCACCTCGCCGAAGCAAACCCAAAATCCCTCTGGGACATTTCGTCGCACACCATGTCTGCAACAATGATGGGCATGACACACACACAGAGATGAGGCTGCTATCTATCACCTTCTCTCTCTCCACAGGGGCAAAACCCAGCTTGCACATGGCTGCTACTCCAGGTGCCGTTGTTGTCACCGGCGACCACGCACCTTTTCTTTCCTCTTCTTGGGCATATGCAGAGGCTGCCCAAACAAAGATATAGCTCTCTCTATCTAGGTTGGTGGATATTATTGCACAGCTTCACGAAAACTGCGATGGCCATTGAAGCACTGTCCGAAAAACTAGATCTAGTGCTCTTTCGAAGCACACATCTCAATCTTCAGCCGGACCTCTCATCTTCCAACTAATACAAGCTTCCTCTCTCTTGCTGGTTTTATGTTCAACAAACCCAACACACCACGCTTCGGCTTTGTCGGCATCCCCGTCACCTCCCTCGCCAACCGCGCCGTCGCGCTCGGCGTCTGATTCATCGCCGTCGCGCTCGGTCCAAGACCGCGTCTTTCTTAGTCCCACCATTTTCGCCTGATAAACCCATCGGTGGAAGCGTCGTGGACTCAAGTCTCGGCCTGGAAGTTGAAGGACGTTATCGGAAATCCCAGCTCCGGGAGCTTCTGGAGAGACACTAGTCTCGGCCGCTTCGCCATTTCTCACCGCTTGCTTCGCGGAGACACCGTTGCTAGCCTCGCTGTCAAATCCTCTGTTCAGGTTACGGACATAAAACGCCTAAACAATATGATGAGTGACCATGGCATACTCTTATCGTGCGCTGGAAAAGCTCTGCCTCAAGCGTATGTCTGTGAAGGACGAAGATCTGGAGCTCCTTGCTCATTTCCCTTGCTTCAAGG